TGGACACCCACCACTTTTCACCGGTTAGAGAGGCCCTCTTTAATACATTAAGAAAAGATGTTCACAGGGGCCAGAAAGACTCGGTCATAGGAACTTAGACCGCCTACGCGCTGGTAAACGAAAACCACCTCGACCGGATCAGAGTAAACAACAATGTCGAATCAGGCCGCCCCTTGCCTTGAAAGAATTCACAGGCAGCCACCAGCTTTCAAAAATGAAATAAATAAGGGGAGATCTGCTGCTTACTGCTCACGGAAACATCCGACCTATACTATAGTCAAGTCGTCCGCCTATCTTTCTGATCTCTCTTCCTTCTATTTATCATATTTTTGGCTTTGACCAATTCAAGGTGAAAAAAAATGGGGTTGGCTAAAGCTAAAAAAGGGGAAGAGAGGATAGCTTTGGGGTACGCTCACTTCTGCATTTTTTTTTAGGTTATCGAGATTATCAATCGCTCTTTTTAGTGGGGAGGAATAGTGAGTGAATGGCGGTTCTCAGACGAGGGAATCGTTCCTCTCTAAAAAAAAGATAGGCTAGAATGAATGCTTCTATCGATAGAGCTTTCACGTCTGCATATAGAATCGTTTTTTTGCCTTTCCATTCCGTTATTACTATATCATGGGCTGTTGGGTTGGAATCCGTGTGATGGTTCGAGAGTCAAATATTCTTCGCATCCATCTTCGGCCTTGTGTTAGAAATGTCCCGCGGGACTGAGTTAGTGGTCGAGTCGTTTTTGGTAATTGACACCCGTCGCATTAGTTTCAATTCATATGTTACCATTCATAGTGAAGTAGCCCTCTTTTTGATGTCTTAGTGCCTTATTCTATCTATCAAAGTCCTTCTTTGTCTATAGCTCGGGTCAGTCCCCCATGGTCTGCTTTGATTTTCTCGAACAGTGCCGGCCCGCATCAGGGACTCTCGTGCGAGCCATACAACGTTCCCAGGCAGGAACTGCTCCTTTCCTTGAGCTCCCTATTTAGTTCCTCCCATCCCAGCCAGGCGTTGATCTCGCAACGGCCCTCCAGCATGTCCTCATATCGCGTCCGTCACCACAGCAGCGCATCCCCAGATAGATACTAGCCATTGTGACTTGGTCGTAAAAAGGGGCACAAACAGAAAGTACTATTCCATATCCCAAAAGTTAGTCTTCGATCCTTAGCATCTCGGGTGCCAACGAATGCCTTTGGTTTCGCTTGATTCGAACCATCTCCGTCGAGCCACTGCTTACGGCCTTATGTAGTATGGGGACCTCGCCCCTATTCTCTAAAGCTTGCCACCCCGTGGAAGGTCACACAAGAAGGCTATTCGACCGACAAAACTTAGGAATTAGTGCGTGCTGAAAAATTGACTTTTCTTTCTAAGTGAAGGGCAGGAGAAAGAATCTTGCATCTATCTCGAGTTTCTCCCTTGAGCGATCTATCCCTAGTTTTGTGACGTCGAGTTTGCTCTATTCTCTTAGCTCGGGCTCCTATCAAGCTTAGCTTCGTGCATGATAATGATAGCGGCATTATTTTTTGGTTTTGGGGAAGGAAGTCGCTCGCTAGTGCACTGCACCTCACCCAAGGTTCACGTCGCTAGGTCAATTCATGCTTCGACGCACTCCCGCCTCGTGTTTTCGACAGAGTGTTGTGCCATACTTCGAGAATGACACGGTTCGGAGGAACTCTAACTCATTTGGGTGAAAACTCCTTCTTCCAATCCCGTAGAGAGGCCCGGAAGAATAACAAGACGATTGACCAATTGAATCATCTTAAATTAAAGACATCATGCCCTAGACGCGAAGGTGAGTAAGAGAGCCGAGTGAATTCTGCGAAGATAGAAGAGCGGACTTCTGAGGAGACTGGAAGCCTATAAATAATAGGAATGGCAAACTGGAACCTCATCCTTCAAAGGTTTGGTGTATATGTGTCCTATTCGTAACGACCCCGACCTTGCGTCATGGAAAGTGGCAAAAAGCCTAAGACTCTACGGGCTAGCCGGGCCTAAAGGAGCTTATCAAATTCCACCTATGTAGTGGCTCGCATTCAACAACTAAGATAAGAGTCTTCCTTCTCATCTCCTTATTTTGAATTCCATTCTTCTTCATTTCCCACCCTAGCCGCCCTTCCTTAACAAGATGGCTCGGAGCAAGCCAAGCAAAGTCTTACGTTATCTACTATCTTTTTTTTTAGCGCAGAAGGGGGGTAAGCACACAATGAAATAGATGGAGAGTCACATTTCTTTATAAAGCCCAAAAGCCCGTTTAGCCCTTCGGACTAAGGCGTGACCATAGGATCTCACAGTGTCGGAATGAGTTGAAGACGAGATGTGGTGTCCAGTCGGATAGGGCGAGGCGAGAAGGGGAACAAGGATCAAAACAGGCATGGTGCTTAGGGCGGCCTCTTTCATTTCCTGACGTTGGGTTCATTCGCGAACGAGACAAGTTTAGCTAGGAGCCTCCTTATTGCCCAGCCCCCTTCTTAGTTGCCGAAGTATAGGCCCGCGTGAGATCAAAGTAACCTGCCGTCCGTTCGCTTTGTTTTGGTCTTGACGTGCTTTCAAAAACATAGATATATTATTTGCACTAGAACACTGACGATAGACCCACCGGGAACACATTCACTACTAGGCATTGACATCTTAATGCCTTGCAATCAGGACATTGATCGATCTTTATGCTTCCCAGCAGCTATACAATACGAATCGGCTACCAGTACCTATTAAGTTAAGACCGCTCGAGTTCTTGAGACCGGGGAGGGGCACCCCCAGTGCAGGGCCAATTTAAGTGCCGGTTGGAGACCTGGTTCGAGATGCATATCTTGAAAGAGAGCCATCACCTCGCCCAACATCCCTTCCTTTTCAATAGTAAATTTGAGAGCCAAATCCAAAAGCTTAATTAAAAAGCAGTTGATCTTGATCCAATTCCCGATGCATAGGGCGAAATCTGGTTGAAGCCCCCGGTCATTTTTAGTAGTGCTGCTCGCTATAAATATCTTTTTGAGGACAGCTGACGTCAAAAATTGTAGTTAATTATGAATCTTCTTCTCAGAAAGACCATCGAAGAAGAGCATATCCACCTTGAAGACCTTCTGGAAAGTCGCCTATGGAAAGAGCATACCCAACCAATATGAGCCTGTCCGAGACTTGCCATTCCCATGGAAGAAAGTTTCCCTGCGTATTGATTCATTACCGACTGAACGGAATATGCTTGCTTCTATTCCCTCCCTCCGAGCGATTAACCGTGATTGTATAGCTGTACGGAATCCCCTGGGGAGTTAAGGGATAGGTGAAAGAGGAGGGGGTGGAAGAACTACTTCAAGTCATCCATAAGATTCCATACCTTTCTGGCTATACGGAAGGGCGGAATGGATCATCAGAGGGTGGAAATTTACTCCAATTGGAATACTGGCTTTTCCATAGGGATTGCATGCCCATTTTAGGGATTAATCACTTCACGGGAGAGAACACGAGGGATGAGCGACGATCGGCCTACGTTTTGACTAGTCATCATCGGTTTACCCGCTTGCTGAAACCACCCTCCATAGCCGATTGGATGGTTGGATAGCCACTAAACTCTTCACTATACTTCCTGTATCCCACTCCCCTCTCTATCTCTCTCGACCCATTCACCGGAGTATGTTGGGCTGGAATGCCTCCATTCCCATCTCTTTATGATCTCTGGGCCTTCCCGCTATGAGATATTCCCGGCGCAGAAGCATATTCATGCATAATACTCAAATAATAATTTCCCCTCTCCATATAGGGGTAGGAATCCCTAGAAGAGGATAGAAGGTCATTTTGTCATCAGTGGAAAAGCATGCGTGATAAGGATACTCCTCTATGCGAATGTTCTAGCTTTCAAAGGACGGGGAGGAGGAAGGGAGTTTCGGGAACAAAGCCCCCGGATTTAAAAGTGAAGCCCTACCCTAGTAATATCTTTTCCCTATCTAAGCTATATCAACATAGCCAACTATAAAACTAATGCGCTTGTCAATGAATTCTTGGTGTAATACGTAAATGATTGGTGTCATAATTTTTCACTGATCAGTCTCATCCGTGTAAGAATTAGGAATTCCTCTTCCAACTCGTCCCGGAATGGGCGTTATGGCAAAGAACAAGAAGAACACAAAAGGAGGAATTTGTCCAATAGTAACAAATGGTGCCTCCACAGGTTGACATCCGATCCAACCTAGTAGTAAGCGATCCGCCAAAAGCAACCAAAATATTCCTTGGTGAATAGGGCGAAAACTTGAACTACGCACGTACATACTTTTAAAAAAAGGTAAAGCCAACAGACATATAAAAACAGGTGCTATTGCGGCTACACCTCCCGATTTGTCAGGTATACTACGAAGAATGGCATGGATCGGTAGGAAATACCATTCCGGCACAATATGAGGCAGGGTGGGCATCGGATTAGCAGGTATATAATTGTCGGGATGCCCCAAAACATTAGGAGCATAAAAAATCCAAATGGAAAAAAAGATAGCAAAAGCTACCCAACCTACTAGATCCTTTACATAAAAATAAGGGTAAAAAGAAATTTGATCCATCTCTGAATGTACACCCAATGGATTATTTGATCCATATTGATGCAATGCGGCCAGATGAAGAAGACTAGCGCCTACTAAAATAAAGGGGAGTAAATGATGAAGACTAAAAAAACGATTTAAGGTGGCATTGTCCACGGAGAAACCACCCCAAAGCCAAGTAACTATGGTATCTCCTACTACAGGTATGGCGCTAGCTAAGCTTGTAATTACTGTAGCTCCCCAAAAGCTCATCTGACCCCAAGGTGGTACGTATCCTGTAAAAGCTGTCACAATCATTAATAGGAAGATTACAACTCCGAGACACCGAACAAATTCCCTAGGACTGCTATAACTCGCATGATATAGACCACAAAAAATATGAAGGTGAACCACAATGAGAAACATACTTGCCCCATTAGCATGCACATAACGGAGCAACCAGCCCCCTTCAACATCTCTCATAACGTGTTCTACGCTGTTGAAAGCTAG